TATACATATACACACACACACACACACACACACACATATATATATATAGTACTAAATATACAACACTCACTCTGTAGTTTCATTGTAATCAGCAAAACTTGTCCACTAATAAGAGACTCTAGAACAGGAGTGTCATATGCATTTTTTTGTCACGGGCCATATCGTGGTTATGGTTTCCGTCTAAGGGCCGTTATGACTGAACTCATATAAAAGTATAATTATTTTATGTTAACACGTGTACACAACAAAATAATGGATGACGAGTTTTGTAATCAGAAGCCAGTAAATTGTATCTTCAACAATTTTCTAATTTACTTGAAAGAGGGACTGGTAACAAAAAATACATGCATTAGCTTGTAGTTGTATGTCAGTTTTGTTAAAAGTGAAGACAATTTGCAAGAAATATGAAGTTCCGATAGATAAAATGCTGTTGCTGCCCAGATCTCATTTTTGGGCCTTGAATTTGACACTTAAATTCCAGAGGGTGGAGTTGGGGGAAATATCCAAATCGGGATTGCATTTGACTAAATGTCTTTAATCAATTATGGAAGAAATGAGCAATCAACAAAAGTCTAATTCCTAAACTATGGTCTGCATTAATGTCTCATCTTTCCAAAGCTGATGTCATGTTGTCCTCTTTAGATCACAAACTAAATGAGACTAAGTCAGCAGTGCCTCTGCTCGTTGCAGCCACATAGCACACACCATTTTGTATCATTTTCATAAAGGGGAAGTCAAATCAAAAATGTTCTTTTACAATATTTTCTATGAGGTCCTACAAGTCTAAACATTGTATTCTGATTAACATTGTCCATCCATGCATCCATTTTATAATCCGCTTATCCTCACGAGGGTGGCGGGCGTGTTGGCGCCTATCCTAGCTGCCTTCGAGCTGTAGGCGATGTAAACCCTGAACTGGTTGCTAGCCAATCACTGATTAGTATTGTGTTTATTAACTATGAAGTTAGCAGCAAAAGCCACCATTTTTTCTCCATCTAAGGGTGTGGCCATTTTGCCACTTGCTCTCCACTGAAAATGTAACTGATTGTTACCTGAGCCCTGAGCAACTGTGATGTCATTTTCAGTTGACAGCAAGTGGCAAAATGGCCGCCCCCTGAGATGGATAAAAACAGTTGGATTTTGCTGCTTTATTCATATTCCACAAACGGAATCATAATCACAATACCGTGTTTAGCGTAGTGGGGCCGCACAGAACATATTAACGAAAAGACATTTTTTTTAGTTCACTTCCCCTTGAAAGACAGAATGAATCAACAGTCAATTTAACACCATCATTTATTATGCCCATCCCTATTTCTAATTATTTCTTGAACAAAATAGCCCCTCCACACAATTTATTATTCAATACAGATTATTGCTATGTTGAAAGAATAAAAACTACATACATGGACAATGGAAAATATATATTATTAATCTTTTTTTCCTTTTGAGATATTTGGTTAGCAGCATTGATACCCTCACTACTTCTCTCCTTCTCCTTTACTCAAAGATGACACTTAACGTGTCAAAGTTCCATCTTTCTTTGGCTGTGAGATAGTAACGTGCCTGAGGTTACGGCTTTGTGAGGAGAATAGAGGAGGTAGTAGCTTTTAATCTCTTCTGACTGAAGTGTGATGAAAAGCAGCCTTTACGCAAGTGTAAGTGCTGGAGCTGGGATGTCAGTTTAATTTGAGAGGTTACAACATAAAATGTAAAATGTAGTCTGAAAGCAGGAAAAAAAAGGGGGTACATGTTGCTTATCCCATGTGCTTGTGATGCTTCTCGTAGCCTCCTGCGTTGTTTGTGCTGGTACCTGCAAGGCAAAGCAACGGGTCAGGTGGACTCTTAATGCTTCACATGTAGTCGTGATGCTCGTGTGCTCCCATTTGTTCATATTACCTCACTTACCTAAGTAGTCCTTGTAGTCCTTGAAAAATTTGTGCCTTAGACCCCGTCCATCTGAAACAAAAAGAGGTGACAGTATAAAAGTCAAATCTCAGCATTCAATCAATCACAGCACACTTGAATATTGTATTCTCTTGATGACAAAATCCATGTGAATATTGAAAAATTCTTTTATGGAGCCAAAATAAGTCGAGCAAAAGCAGTTTACTATACTGTTGTATCATAATCAGTATCATAATCTGCGAGGAGTTCAATGCAGTAGAGGCACCATACTTTTGTGTACAGTATATGATTGAAAAATGTCACATAGTTTATAGCGGCTCTACAGTAGAAACAAGATTTTGACTCCAACGTGAACTTTGCATTTGACCAAAAGTCCTTACGTGCATATGAAGCATTTACCAATTTTGGGTTACAAAATAGTTATAAATAATATCAATGCAATTACTTTTTTTTACAGACTTTTTAATAGAGGACAGAAAGTAATGTAGAAATGGATGAAGCAATTTAAAAGTTTAGAGGAATAGGACTCCATGAGCAATAGCAGGTGACACAATTGCAAATGTCATTTTCGGTCATCAAGCACCCGATTCAAATGAAGAAGAGTACTGTATTTAAGTCTCCAAGAGTGCATCCAAATTCTACCAGAGTTGGCACGCTGCTTGATGCACTGTCCCCGGTTGGGGATTCCAGCGGCAGGATTTCCTGGGTTGATGATGTGGCATTCATATCCCGTAGGACAGTGGAGAGGTTCATCGCCATCCTCTGTTGTACTGCACGCCTCGGCTGGCCGTTAAAAATACACAAATACACATTAATCACAAGAGTACAAGCAACATTAGCTGAATGAAACATTTTTCATGAAGCAAAGGACAAATAGAGCTTCAGGCCTTGTAATGCTCAGCATCCATCGAGGTGCCTTCTGTACCTTGTCACAGTATGAAACTTGTCTTACCGTATGTCCCAGAGTTCAGGACACTGGCACATCGCTTTACTCATTTTCCCTCCATATTAGTCAAGATGTTCTCACCGTACCATATTAAAATGCATTACTGTTGTCACTCAGAAAGTGCTGCGCAACCATTTTTCCGAATGGATGTGCTGAACTGTCATCCCAGCGCGCTTCTGCTCGAATGGAACATTTTTCAATTTGAGCGCATCAGCAGGTGCCTCCTTCAAGCGCTGCCGTCTGCTGCCGCACGGTGCTGCACCATTGCAGTGTGCCAGCACATGAGTAGATTTGTCAATGGCACACTACGCTGTGCTAGTGGGAAAAGGCCTTCAAAAGGATGGTGCGTTCTTTTATTTTGGGGAGTGTTGTTAGAAACTCCCACTGCACCCAAGGAGGACACTGTTAGAATCACGAAAGTCAGAATCAGAGTGCTACATGTTTTTTGCAGTGAACGAATATCACTAAGCGCAGAATCAGTGTTGTTCACTGAGAGATTAAATCATCTCCACTCCCCGCTATCACTCTTGCGGCTCAGCTCAACTTCACTGGAAAGAAATGAATACATTTTCGAAACTTCACTCTAAATATTTGTTGTATCTGCTGTAGATGATGCCCATTCATTAATAGACAGCAGTTGTGACGTGTTTAACATTTAGTTGAGCTCTGCACTTGTTTGTTCGTGATTTATAATGGCCTGGAGAAGCCCCAGGCTGACAATGCAATGTTTCTAATAACCGGTCATTCATGTACTCACCCTGCAGCACTTCCTCTGGACCATCTAGTAGCCAACCGTTGCCCCCTAACCACCGAGGCTTGGGCTGCACCAGCCAGTCGAGGACTACTCGTGATGACACAGACACGGAAATAGTTATAAATATTCATGAACAAATCAATGCATTGAACTTGGTGGTTCCACACACCTGGCGGGGGCTGAACGGATTCCAGGCAGGCATAGATGCAGCCGTTGTAGCAGCAGCGTTTATGGCGCTCACACTCTGAGTCCGAGCGGCAGCCTGGCACCTCACAGGCCCTTTCTGGGAGCATCTGAGGGGGTGGTGGGCAGCGGTCATTTTTCTGGTGCTGTGTGGACTGCGGGTGGTTGGGATACTCGTAGTCCTGCGAGACCAGAAGGGCAAGTTGCTGAAAAATTGCTTCCAGTGAATGTCTCCATAAAGTCGACCACTAGAGAGCAGCAAAGTGTGCGGTAGATGTGTTACATACACGGAGCCCCATACATGACATTTGAAGAAGAAAAAAACCCGACTTTGTGCACACGCTGTAACTATGCACGAGGAACCAGTCTGTGGGCACGGACTACTGCTATGTGTGCACAAAATAGAAAGTGCGCACAGTACTTGTTCATGGATATCAATGCCTTACTTGAGTTAATTTTGAAATTGTCTCTCGGAATCAATCATGGTGGCTGACTACAGTCAAGCCGATTGATGGAGCTCCATTATTTGAGTTCGCAAAACTGTGAAGACAGACTTGAAATGGAGCACAATATTCAAATTGCAGTGTTCATGGGCACCGACGTACAGATAACGTGCACCCCTGGTTATAGCTTTGCTTCTCAACTGTTATCACTCTGAGACCTGTATTTTCTATTGAAACAGTACCTTTTGAAAACATGAACATCATATTTTTAAACATAGCTAGCTACTCATGCTTACGTTTAAAAGTGCCTTTCGGTGCACCTTATTAGGAAACTGAACATGACAACGTGCAAAAATATGCATTTTGGCGCTGATCTCTCTTTAGGAAAGAATAAGATAAGTAGTCTGTCTTATTTTTAAGAAACAAAGGCCGCAGACTAAATGCACCTACAACCGTATTAACAGTGTGAATTATTAGAACAGAATAGAATGGGGCACAACTTTGTAAGTATCTCACAGTTTGCAGCATTAAGTTGAAAACAAAAATGCCCGCACACTATTTTGCTGTACATTTTTTAATACATGTCCGTGATCCACCCAAAATGGCTTTGCAACCCATATGTAGGTCCTGACCCACCAGTTGAGAATCACTGTGTTCTATTGTTTGGCTGAAGTACAGACTACCCACTGCCTTGAAAATGTCTTGACCTGGATCGGGAGGGTAGTTTACTGTACACGGATTTCCATGGTGCATCTGAGAGCGAACAGAAAGTAGGCCACAAGACCCGGAGGCAAGCAACTTCTCATGTCACACACCATGGCGGTTGTGACAGACATAAATTTTCAAGGCCCGAGTGTACTTTTGCATGCCGCCAGGAATGCACACACTGCTTCTGACATCTGCCCTTGTGTGCAAATGTGGTGGAATGTGCATCACAGCCATTGTCTTTGCGGTTTGATGTTGTGAAAACTTGGATTCTGTTATTTGAGGCCAACATTCCTTTCGAGGTTCGGTCATAGTTCCTACATATCCGTTTTCTCATCGTTGCTTTGGAAAAACCTCATCGTCTCATATTAGTTTATACAGTCGTCTGCACGATCCCATCTGCAAATTCATAACAGCCAGAATATAACAAGAGAAGCAGCATGTTCGACAAGTAGTTAAGTCACATGTACAGCAAGGAGTAGTTTGCCACAGTATGGTTAAAAACGGCAAACATTGATCTGGCATGTGTGCCAACTGCAGGATGTGTTGGCGGCCTGCCGATAGCTGCATCAGCTTCATCTAAATCAATGATCTCTCAAACGTTTCTCCCCCCCAAATATTAGCATCATCGCAATTCATTATGGTATTGTCCCACTGCGGCTTATACCGCATTCAGAATTTGCCCTACTGATCAATCATGTTTTTATCCCAACACAACTTCACTGAACATTTAACCAAAACTGCACTGCTTGTTGAAAATGGGGCTACACCCCCACTTTTCTACTTTCCAGTGCTTGTGGTTGGTTTCTTCTCGGTTTGCGGTGCGTAGTTTGTCTTTTTCAAAGGGGAAAATTGCATACACCACACTGCACTGAACACATCCGCCTGGATGAGACACGCTAACAAGCAATTGAGAAGAACAAAGGTTTCTTCGATGTATTTCATCGTGCATGGGTGTTGGCCAAGGAGACAAATGTTATTTATTTAATAGGATAATTAGGGCAGCAAGAAAACTGCTGCAAAGCAGATGCAGCAAAAAGACTACGATAGTGTTTGTTTAATAGCAACCAGCGGCCTTTGCTTAATCTGCATTATAAATGTTGTGACAATGATGGAGCAACCAGCAGTGGTTGACGTCACACATATCGTCGCCTTCCTAAAAGTATTGGCTTAGTACCCAATTAACGGAAATGAACCCCTGTATATTCATGCTTGGACATTCTCAATTTCTCTCCTTTGTGGGTATTTTGGGGGAAACCTATCCTGCATCAATTGCTGAATAACTTACCAATTTGGCGCTTTGTGCTCTACAATAGGAATTGTCCGGCGCCATGTGGTTACATCATGGTTCCGAAGAAGTAGAGTGAGGTGAGTTGAGGAGCTTCACATCGACTAAAGTAGTCATTTGCTGCCTTCTTGTGTCAAATATAAGCAAGTACAGTCCTATATAACACTTTTAGAGGGGGAAATTCATAACTTGCGAATTTTAGCTATTTGTGCCAGGGCTCGATTGCTATCCACCGTAAATGGCGGGGATTCATTGTACGTGGTTACCTGCTTTTGCCAGTGCACATTTCAATGGTGAGTTGAGCTACGGCAAAGTGAGCGAACCACGAAACGAGACAATAATGTTCCTCCCTTCCAACATAGGTTGCATGGTCAGTTTTCTAATCTGTAATGGTTGCGTGTTGCAGTAGACTGAATATTTCCTTTGTTTTTTGTTTTTTATTTCCAAGTCTGATTCATTCAGTTCACATCTGTTTGCTTTCCCAGCCTCCTTGGATCCTTCTGTGTACTGGATCCCAAATCAGGTAATCAGCCTGTAGGCTGCACACAATGTTTCAAAGTGCGCTGTTTATTTGGCAGGGTTGACAAACAAGCTCACAATCCAGCTCGGGAAATAAAAGCCAATGATGTTTGGCATGGAGAGAATCATCACACGCTCAGAATGTGTGAAAAAAAATCTTTCCACGCAAATGAGTTTATTCTGCCAGCATTTAGTTCACCGGGCTGATGGTTGTTTGAGTGGTTGTTTCACACTTCATGTCGTTGGAAACATTTCTTACTTTTGCTCTAGTGTATGAACTTTCAAAACATGCAAATGATTACTTTGTAAGACAGTTTTATCTTTCATGCTTATTGTTCTTAGTCGCCTTTTTACTCTGGAGCAACTATATTTAACAACCATTCAAGACATTTTGTTTTCTGATTGTAATGTGTGTAGAATCCATTCATTTTTATTCGGATTTGTTCAATGAAATAGTGGTATTTCATTCGCAATTATGAACTTTAGTCCGGTTAAACTCATGCACAATTGGCACAAAGTCGACTGGGACTGGATAATGGCAAATTACTACTCATTATCTTCTGTCCGATCTCTTCCCAAGTGCTCCTGCAAAAATCTCCAACAAAATCTTGAACGTTTCCTTCCTGTTTGACATGATGCTTTTAATACATAGCAGACCCCATTCATTCATCTTTTCACTTTACACATCGCATCATACTCCTCATCCTCAACACTACGGACAAATTCATTCTCTCATTAGGTCACTGATGGTGTTGTTCTTCATCCCCTGACTTTGCTATTCCGGTGTCCTCCCACATTCCAAAAGAGAGGTTAATGCAACACTCTAAATTGTCCCTAGGTGTGATTGTTGTTTGTGATTGGTTGTTTGTCTCTGTGTGCTCTGCTGGCAACCAGTTTGGGGTGTCTCCCACCTACTGCCCCAAGACATCTAGGATTGGCTCCAGCTCGCCCTCGACCCTTGTGAGGATAAAGCGGATTAGAAAAAGGATAGATGGATGGGTTATTATTATTATTATTGTTGGATAGGGCCTTCTTTGCACACACACACACACACACGCATACGCATACGCACACACACACACACGAACACACACACACACACACACACGCACACACACACACACACACACACACACACACATTTGTTTGCTGTACACTCTAAACGCCAAGGTCACAGTCGTGGCTAGTCTTGCGTTAACAAGAAAGAACATGTCTTTCAAGGGAGGTCGCCCACAGCAGGCATCTGGTTCCTAACCAGATGCTCGGTGTGGCATGTAACCAATGGCGAGCTCTTAGGTTGTCAGGACTCATTTCACTTTGCTGCACCTGCAGTCTTTTTGATGTACTGGTTGTGTTTATTATTTTACTTTTCGTTAACTGTTTTGTAAAGTGCTTTTTTCCAGCTGCAGATGTTGTCAAAGCGCGATATCAATCAGGATGTCTTGTATTGTTACCATAAACAGAGTTGGTAATAAAAGTACCGCAGGTTGCCTGACTGTCCTTGAGTTATGGCAGAATCTCATTTACATATACAAACTGAAACATCATGCAACAGTTTGTTATAATTCATCTTACATGAAGATAATTTCTAGCAATTGCAACTGTACAAGAAACCGTATGTGCACACCAAAGCCCTAACGTTGTTGCATTTCCCCCTCAAGATAATGCTAACTTTCAGAGAGGGACTAGTTCAACAATATTTTAATTCATTAGTGTGGTTGTAGTTTGCAGTGATGTCAAACTGCACTGAAAAATATTGGATGCGTATTTTCCGTTGTGGTCAATCGATGTACATTTTAAATAATCATCCAATAAAATATCTGGGAAGAATCAATCGCGCCTGGACTTGAAAAATGGCATCCCACGGCAGACGGTTTTAAAACATTCTCGCGTGTTTTATCTGGAGATCATCAATAAATGACATTCCGCAACTTGAACGCAGGCAGTGTTTACTAAAGCTGACTCGCATTTGTCATGCATTCACAGAATTTGCCTAGTTTTACTGCTGTAAGTTAAAAATGAATCCATCCATCTCTCCATTCAGGATACACCTCCTCCAATACACCTTCTCAAATTTAATTTGACAGGAAACATCTCCACTTCCCCTTCTGTTAAACATCACTTTCAGAAATGGTAAAACTCTCCCTGAGAGAACGTTTTCCTAGTGGGCCCAGGCCAAGTCATGCATATGTTTGTGAATGTCTACAGAGCCGCTGCCTCTCACAAGAGTCCGTGAAACTGCGAAGATTTTGGGTGGAGGCCTCCCCTCTTTCGTGCTTGCAGACATGCCCATACAAGTGCGAACCAGACTGTTATGTCTGCATGACACTTATGATGTGTATGAAGTGTAGGTGCTTTTTAAAGAAAATATCTCTGCGGTTGAAAGCCAGTCTTTCATCACACACAAGCTTTCCTGTTTACTTGCTTGTTCCTACTTTTTGTCGCTTTTTCCACGACCTCTTCTTGTGTCTGTCTGTCAGGCATGTCTGGCTCCAGTCTCTTTCGAGCACCGAGACAAAGTTGAGTAACTGCTATTGTTGACCTTTCAACTGGGTCAAAAAAAGAAAAAAAAAAGGTTCCGATAGGAGAAGAGGTGATGAACGCAATATAAGTGAGAGAAACCACAGATGTGACCACAGGTCAAATGCGCAATGAAGAATCGGTGAAGAGCAAACATAAGCGGCAAGATGCGATAGTAGGTGGACATGAAGGTCTGGTTTGCTGAACTTGACAGCTTTAGAATGATCAAAATGCATTGATTCAATTGGAAAAAATGCAGACCACCGACAAAAAAGAAAAAAAAAAGCAGTAGCATATCCTATCTTCAAGGGATACTTCACATATGTATGCCATTTGCAGCAGTAAAAAAGTTATTTCATTTGTCTAGAATTAATTTGATAACTATTATTCCTCGTGTATTTCTCACTGAATAACTTTTTTAAACGGTTTTTAAAATAATATTGCTTGCCGCCAGGTTCATTGAACACGTCACGTGTGTCAACTTTGGACTAGGCTGCACAATGATATACACACCCACACACATTCATCTGCCTGTTCTTGTGCACACCGGGGGCTTGCGTAAGTACACTTTTTGTAAAAAGTGTGGAATAACATGCCATTGTGCACCTGTTTCTGTTCAACCCCTTGCAAATGCCTGCCATGCCTTATGGCATTGTTTTCTTTGTGTCCTCCCCTGTGTGTGTAGTATGTCCGGCAGTATATTACACACGGTAAGTTTCGTTGGACCCATTATGGACGTATACCCATGTGTTGCAAATGTTGCCATTAAAGTGAAATATATCAACATAACGGTGTCTTTTCCAGTTCTTATGTGTTTTCCAAGCTAAGTAATTGCTATCAATCAAGTCACACATGCACAATGAATGAAATCTTCCTTTAGCTTTAAAGATGAAAATGTGTCATGTGTAAACAGATATAACTACCGGTACTTGAAAAGGCAGAACGATTATCTGCTCTGCCTTCAGATTGGAATTATATTTAGCTGTAGTATGACTTCAGACAGGGTGTGTGTGTGAAATGGAAAAGAAATGAAGGAAAGGTCTGAAAGATACAGAGATTTAAAAAAAGAGGCAAATGGTTTCTGAACAGCCGTCTCAGCATGTTCCTATCAGAACGGCTTTGCGGCTGAAATGCAAACTTTGAGCCCATCCCATACACCGAGATGGATACACCGTGTGAGCGAAAAAGAAGCACATGGCCTGAGGGGAGTCAAAAAGATTTTTCTCAGGAGAGGTGAACGGGTAACAGCCTAAATCAAGAGAAGAGGAAGAGCCAAAAATGTTGTCAACTGGTCAGAAAGTGAGATCATTGAAGCACAAGAGGATGACAAGGCATTACGCTACACTGAACTTTTGATCACTCGGCCACACTGAGCTGAGTTAACAAGCAGGGGCCCGGTCTGTCCGTCTCTCTCTCTCTCTCTCTCACACACACACACACACACACACACACACACACACACACACACACACACACACACACACACACACACACACACACACACACACCGCGTTACGAGCTCCCATGAAAATATGAAAACGGGTGACTTCTTGTGTCTGCTCCACATAAATAGGTTTGCTCTTATCGGTGTCCATTTTTCACGCTATAAGCCAAAGCTTCACCGTTTTCACAACTGTTACTGAAGAAAAACAAGCGGTAGCCCCTTCTATAAATGTTGGTTCATTTCAGAATACAGCCAGTGGAGCAGACTAAAACTGTACATATGGAACTTGATCTGTGAACATATTCAATACAAGTTTTTTTTTTATTTTAGAGTTACTTTTTTTTTTCTGGAGCTGTTTTTCCTGAAACGTATATTTCTCTTGAGAATAATGGTTAACTGTGACTAATTCAACAACTAATGGTGACGGTATGTGTACATTAATATGTAACAAATTACAGAAAAAACTGTGTGTTGGATGTTCAGCTTGTGTATTAGAGACCCTGCACATTTATGGTACTCGGTGCCATGTCATTCATCGTACTACAAAACAGCAATTTAATGGTACAGTTTGGAGTAATACCTTCAGTGTGTCATCAACCGATGTTTTCCCTTTTGGCTATGGGGCACAAATAACTGTGCTCCACTGAGTCTGCTCAGCCACAGAAATGAAATGTCGATTTCCTGTAATGTAATTTAGCGGTTGATATTCAGCATTTTTCAAAGCATCATTCCAAATATCGAATGAGACATCTATTAATACATTCCACAGACATTTAAAACATGCAAAACATTTAAGTGCAACAACAATAAAAAAGACAAAACCGCCGTCCAACTTTGACTTTTCATCTTGGCATATGCTTTCAAATAGTGCAGCCACTGTGCGGTATCTCCGGTAGATTTAAACTACTTCCGCAAACAAAAATAATAAATGAAGTCCCTACATTTTAATTGACATCTCTTTGAATTGAATGCTTTTGAGGCTATGAGGGTCACATGATTAGTCCCACCTTTTGGTTGAGTCCTCTTTTCCTGATTCGTCTGGCATCACTTCCTGTGGAGAGCACCAACAGGGACAACAGCAACACCAGAGATCCCGGCATGGTGCACATCGAGTTCCTGCACTTTGAATTCCAACTGCGTCCTCAGAGGTGCTCCTTCTTCCTCAGTTTTCTGTTAAGTTTGTCCACCGGGCAAACCAGAGCTCGTCTGTGTGAGCTTTTGCAGCTGAGGCAGGCAAGCAGACTCTGGTGCTCATGTGAAGCCAAGATTACACAAGCATTCTCCAACAGGACCTGCCTTTCTATTCGCTTGAGGAAAAGTGCGGGCCAGCGATAGACAGACGGAAAGGGAATAGTTGAGAGGGGAAGAGGGGGGAGAGGCAATGCAGGGGAGAAATGTACGAGGGACCAAAGAGGAATGGCAGCTGTCTGTGCATCAGAGTTGTCTGCTGGCACACTGTGCGCACATGTCTTTTTGGGAGGGGCGGCGGGGGGGGGGGGCTCAGGGAGTGAGAGAGACCTCCCCCTTGCCCTCCCGTTTCATCACCTTCCACATCTGGGGTTCCTTATGTGGATTTTTAAGTCAGGAAAATGTGAAAAGTATTTCATAGTTTGCAGTTTAGATTTACATGTTGCTGGTGAGCTTTGTTGACCCCCTTGGCTGACGCTGGTGTCTGCATCTCCTGGAGAGGATGATTTACGAGAGTGTGGCTGGGAAAGCCGCACAGGAGTTTTCATGTGTTCAACTCGGTGATCCCTGCAGTATTGACCGAGAAGGAATGATACATCCGTTACGCTTTGAGAAAATTGACCAATTTTTGATGTTATCGTCTTGCCTTCTGGCCTGAGCTTTTGCACTTTCTGTCTTTTGGACAAATGTGTGTTAAGCAAACCGTACTCTGACCCTTCCACCCCTCCCCTTGTTCCACTCACAGTGTCAAGCCGTGAAGGGGAGAAAGAATGCTAAGCCCGCACAAATCTCAGTCATGATTAGTTTTACAGGAACAAGCCTCGTGTCATTGGGAGGCCCCAGCTACAGTACAGAAAGGGCAGATAAATACCACGACAATGAATGGGCGAAAGAGTGACAAGCAAACATGGAGTGTGAAGGAACAGCGTACTGGTATGATGTGTATCTGGTCAAACATGCTGTATGTGGGTATCACCGGACTGAAACATTGGCCGCGGTAGCTTAAGAAGAAAAGAGGACAAAACAACTAGAATTGAAAAAATCAAATTCAGTGTTGACTGCATTTAGAGCAGACATGGTACAGTTTTTCTTAATTTACTAAAAATAAATGACAGTGGTGAACCCAGTTCACCCCCTCCAGCATTCGATAGGTCCCCATTTTGAAACAGGGAGAAAAGAATCTCTCCTGCCTTTTTGACTCCCAATTGAAAAAAAAAAAAACGCAGCACAAAAACTAAAAAAAAAATCACTTAAAACTACTCCATGTGGAGGAATCGAACCCCAGTCTTCTGCAAAACAGGTGGAGATACTGTCCACTTTACTAACGAGGAATACACTTCACGTTAACAGCCTTACCCACCAAAAGCACCAATGTTATCAGGCAGGTTGACAGCCCTGCTAAGCAGAGGACAAGGAGGTTTCTGTTTCCACAGTGCAGAGCAAGGGTGGGCAAATATTTTGGCTCTGGGGCCACACTGGCTTTTAAAATTTGACAGATGGACACAAGATACGGTATATATAAAAAAAACTGCATTTGTTCACAGTCCATATCAAACATCAACAGAACAAAAGCACCAAAGTATTGAGTTTTTTAATGAGAACAATGTTGTTGATCACCCATTTTTGCCAGTGCATTGCTGTAGATGGGTTGTGATTATGATCTGACCAGTCGAAGTAGAGAAGGGGTCGGGAACGTTTTTGACTAAGAGAGCCATAAAAGCAAAAGATTTGGAAATGTATTTCAGTGAGAGCCATATAATATATAAACTGTATTTTAAAAGTGAATTCAACAAAATGTCAGTATAATAAGCCTCTGTATTCTTTTAAATAACTTTGTTTTAATACTCACCATTAATGTGAATGGTTTTCCGTTCCTCACGATTGGTAAAAATCCAGAAAAACTTGTGGAATTATCGTCAGCTTGCCGGGTCATTACGCGGAGTTGCTGCTGGCTAGCTTGCACCATGCTCGATTGCTCGCAGAGTATTTTGATGCGAATGTAGCATGGCGCATGTCAAAGTGCCGCTTTCCATTTGACCGTTTCATCAATGGTATTTTGTCATTGCAAATCAGACACACCGCAGAACCTGTTCTCTCCACAAAGGCGAATCCTTCGGTCCATTCGTCCTGAAGTCTAAATGAGACGAGTAACAGACCTGGTCGCTTTTCTTTCAATTCACTCAGTGTCTCGAACGTGACATCCCGTCGCTCGATCACCACCCAAGACAGCGCTGCTCAGCTGATGTCGTGCAACGAACTTTTGAAGCCAGCCACGGAACGCTTCGAAGTCCTCGATGCTCATAGTTAGCGCTATATAGGTCGCCTTCTCTCTTATTAGCGTCTTTTTTTGGCACGATAATAGGTAAAGCACTCCAGGAAATTGCCAGAATCGGACTGAGCAAGAATGGCTTCCTTGTTTGATAAAGTCTCGTAGATTTGAGTCTTTCCGACTACAAGCGTCTCTTGAATGTTTCTACTTTCTAACCCGCTTCGCTTAATCGGATGCATTCCACTTTCTCTTCCGCGGTCATTACCGTTCCTCTTCGTTTGGACGCCATGATCTACAAGGGCGTAAATGTAAATGAATGAAATTAAAATCTTTCGCAATTCCAATAAAGCTCACTGCAATAAAGAGTCACTTACATGTCGCCGTTTTGGATTCAATGATCGACAATAGCGGCGCGGACACAGTTATTGTGTAGTATCGAGCAGGACTTGCTTGAGTTGGTGCTGCTAGGGCTTCCGTATGGCTTCCGGGTACCGGAACTTCCATTTTTTTATGAATCGATCGTTACTGCAACAGAGTAGTAGAACGTTTATTTTTTCAACGGGTTTGGGAATTTCTGTTTGACAGAGGTTCGTAGGTGGAAGATAAGATCTCTCCCTCTCCCTCCCTGTGCTCTGCAACTTCAAGTCACTGCGCCACCTGGCGTTGAAAATGCCTGTCATTACAAGTCCAAATGAAATGAATGCAATCAATTCAAATCGAACTTGAATTGTTTACCAATCTTCGGCGGCCCGTAGTTTGCCCACCACGACAGAGGACCGGCCGTTCGCTTCACATGTGGAAGGTCCGGGTGAAATTCACAAAAACCAAGAACTCCCCGTCGGGGAATCGAACCCCGGTCTTCCGCGTGACAGGCGGAGATACTGTCCACTATACTAACGAGGAATGAGTACACAGAGTACCAGCCTACACACGAAACCAAAGGCAACGCTATCAGGCGGGTCTGATCTGCGACCAGAGGATTTACGGTCGTCTGTTTCCATATCATGTTCGTCTAACACGCGAAATATAAAATGCATTGGTTTGAGCAATTTCAGTACATAAATAACAGTTTCAATTTTGTATTGATAAAGGTAATGCTGAACCATCAAGTCAGAAAGCTGTGACATGCAGACATAAACGTGTCGTGGTTATCACGTTCGCTTCACACGCGAAAGGTCCCGGTGAAATTCACAAAATACAACTCCCCGTCGGGGAATCGAACCCCGGTCTTCCGCGTGACAGGCGGAGATACTGTCCACTATACTAACGAGGAATGCGTACACTTTAGAACCAGCCTACTTCTCAAACCACTTACAACGCTATCGGGGAGGTCAGCCCTGCGAGCAGAGTATTTACGGTCTGTTTCCATGTCATGTTGCCGAACACGCGACATATAAAATGCATTGGTTTGAGCAATTTCAGTACACACACACAACACTTTTATTTTTGTGTTGATAAAGAGAATGCGGAACCATCAAGTCACACTCGCTTCACATGTGGAAGGTCCCAGTGAAATTCACAAAATGTAACTCCCCGTCGGGGAATCGAACCCCGGTCTTCCGCGTGACAGGCGGAGATACTGTCCACTATACTAACGAGGAACACGCACTGCAGCCACTTGTAGCAGTCTAAAAGGCTCTATCTGTAGCTACCATAGTGCCACGACGTGCTTTTCTTCTCGGCAGTTTACAAGCAAAACTGTCCCTGGCGAATTTCCCACTGTCTTTATTTAAACGATATTGCCCCTTCTCACATAAATCATGACGATCCAGCTGAATTGCTTTTCTGGAATTTATACATTCACATGAAAGAAACAGTTGTGCCCATGTGCATTGAAGTGTGCAGGTCACGCATATGCTTCATCAGAATTTAACCCACAGCGCTGCATGATGCATGAAATATCAGAATTCTGATATAAAATTGAGAATCTTGCCAACCTTGTTTTTTTTTCTTCATTGGCCCTAATCATCTACCGTATTTTGATGACCAGGCTTCTTACTTTTATTTTGCTCCTCTTGAAGAACTGATGATCACTAAAGCTCTCTTTGCAGGGTGATGGATGGATATTTTGTCAATCCAGGCAACACATAATGGAGGCGTAAACGTGATGAATTAGCAATTGTAATAATAAAATGTAGATGACTCCTGAAATGATTATTGGCAATAACAAAATGTATTTGAGCCAAATTGCTATGTAAATTCCAAATGCAAGTCCATCTTGTGCATCTGGAGAGATTATGGAGCTCTTCGTGCATAGCAAACTATTGTTGTGCTTGTTGTTTGTCGTCGTTTTGAGCTCTCACATGGTTAATAAGTATAAACAGCATTACAGTATTACCCAGACAGAAAGAGTTCAGATGGTGCGGCTGTATCCAATGTGTCAGCCAGTAAGTATATATGCACATTCTTATTGTTTGAGTAACATTTTTAATGTATTTTAACCATTGGAGGAATCATTCAAAGAAAGTACACTAGTCCACTGTGTGGAAATAACCGAACAACAGATGAAAATGAAGTGTTGTACGTTGTCATCTTTTGAGATTTGATGAAATGGACACATCGGGACATGTGGAAAAACTGATGCAATCGTATCCTCTTTCAAACTGCTACTTTTTGAACACAGAATATTTGTGAGATTAGGAAAAACAAAACAAAAAAAACTACTTGGCTGCAGATGTTTAAAGCCGTTGATCATAATGTTTTATTTACACTGTCCACCTGTTTTTCAATCTCACTTCACTTTATTGGAGCCACTCGTTGCCATACATGCTGTATTTGTTTGAGTGTTTAACTTAACATATTTAAATAAGGGTGTCAGTGATGTCTTCTTCACAATGCAACAGTTTCGTATCAGTTTTACTTGATGACATCTGAGTTCATTCATTTAAAATGCTCTTTTTTTTCGTGCTTTGCATATCTGTTGCAATAAAATGTGCAATAAAAATTCAGTGAGCATTTGTATTTGATTTGTTTTAGGTGGAGCATAATATTTGAGTGATTGTTGAGGACAAATTGATCATGGATGTCTTTATCTTGTTTGGTTTCTTGACGCTTCCCTTAGTTAGACAACGCCTCTCTGCTGCGACGTTAATGTAAAGAGATGTGCTGTCTGAAATATGATACATTGACTTCAGGCCATTTCGGATGCTGCAGAGTTAACAACAGCAGCAACAAAGAACAAAAAAAGGGTTAGAGAAGTGGTCTGGCCTAAGAATGTTGTTGAAATGTGAAAAATGAGAAGCCAAAAAAAGAATAAAAGTGAAGATAGAAGTCCCAATATGGCAGCTCCCTGAGGGGCGTCGCACAACTGATCAGGACATGATTGACACAAAACAAAAGGTAATGGGAGAAGAGCTAAAATTGGTTCTTTGTTTCAAGAACTTGCATGGCTATGGATGCAAAAAAAGTGAGAATGTGAAAAAGTAGAAAGAAAAAAAAGCAAGCGGATGAAGGAATTTAACGAGATAAAATGTTTGTTGAAAAACAGGTTTTGGTGACATTTGTACCAAACGTTCGCTGCAGCAACCCCCCCCTCCCCCCTCCCCCCAACCCCCCTTTTTTAAAATGTTTTTTTCACTGGAGCACCTTGAATGAAACACAAATAATGCATGTGTACAAGGATGACCGAATTAAATCAATGAACACTACTGAGAGCTACGGATTCTCTGTCTCATTTTAGGCCATCTTTAGGCAGTGTTGCAAGAAAAGGAAGTCAAGAGAGCGAATTCTAAGCAAAAATGAAACTTGCATGCAACTGACCCTTTGCAGGGAGTGTTATGCATATCAGGTTGCTACTTATACACTTATTCAACGAAAATCCCTGTAGTAGGGCTTATGATTCTTCATTAAAATCTTTGTCTGGTCTCTTCTAATCAGTGATGACGGCAGAGCCTGACTTCCCCCTTTAATGACTGCGTCCTATCCTTTATCCTTTCATGGCCCTAACCAGCACAAAGTCTTTGCATACTTTCTGCTACCTCAAAGTTTTCCAACTAAGATTGCTTTTTTCCCCCTCTGCTTTCTTTTTTCTTGCTTTGAGTTTTTTTCCCCCATTATCTGCAGCAAAGCCTACATACTGGGAGACCCATCAGTTTGAAGTTTCAGAGGATTTCTCTACCCAGTTTTGCCTTTTTCTTCATCGCACTCCTCCACCTCTGACTTCCACTTCCTCATTAACCTGCCAGCGAGCATTTGAAACTATTGCACCAATACAACATTTCTTAATTTAACCCTCAGCAGCAAGGTCAGGCAAAAAAAAAAAAAAAAAAAAAGTAATGCAAGTAAACAACTCTCCTAAACTGTTTCTGTGGAGACTTTTGGGTTAGGGATTACCGGTGGGAAGTCAAAATAACCAGAAGCTTCACCAAGATTTTAAAGCTTTGCTTACATTTTTTGTTTTATTGGACGTGATACTGAGAAGGGTCAGAGAAGGGTCAGATAAAGCTCACTTGGTTCTCCTTCTTGGAGGTGGATGTGAAAAGTGGCCCATGCATTCGCCAGTAGTGAAAGCACATGCATGAGATCCTGCACATTCTAGCCTTGAGTGTGAAAAACAAGCCGGTGCACTTCGCCTAAAGACAATGTCTCGATGTGTATGGCGTATGTACGTGTCAACATCCTGCCACTTGCACTTCTTCACTGAACAGTCATGTCCCTTGTCTGGCTTCAACAAAATTAATTGCAGCCATGGTTACATTGTCCCAAGCTATCACTGGCAAGATTCCATTCCATTATTGTGTGTGGAGGCAGCAAATCATTACCAAGCCACCAAATTTCACTTGTCAATTATTGGAGTTTGTGTGACACATGAAATCGCCATACACAAATACAAAAGAATGGAGACAACTTCGAACTTGAAGTAAAAATACTCGGGTGTTGATGTCACCTGATGGACACGTAATTGCACCATTAAAAACATTTTTAATGTAATCAGGATTTGAAATATTATATCTTGCTCATATTGTACTGAACAAGACACTTTCTCGGGTCAAAGGTTACATTTCCAGTTCTATGATGAGTTGAGTTGAGTTCTCATCACACCAAAGAAAAGCAATGCAAATTTGTGGATTTCATCCTTCGATTTCTCACGGTAAGTATCTCGAAATATACTAATTTCCATGTGACTTCATACATGATGAGTACATTTTGGACTTTTGAGGCATGTTTTTTTTGTGGGGGGGGTGGTAGGGGGGGAATGTGAACTACAAATTCTACTGTTGTAACATTAGTGGCATTCAATAGCACAGGAATGTACACTGTACATTTTCGAACCCATCTTGTGTCATCTGTGAGGCACGTGCTAACCGTTGCATCATTGTGCTTCTCTTACAATGCATGTTTCATCACACCTTAATACAACGGAAATTATGTCTAACTTAATTTCTTTGCTACATATGTGTGCGTGTGTGCACACAATGTGCCTTATGCTAAACTCAAACTTCCACGTCGACCTTGAGGCAGCAGTTTATTCTGTAGGTACACAGCTTCAGGAAGTGCTCAGACAGATTAGAAATGGCTGCTTTCCTCTCGAATAATGAGGGGCCTCCCTTTCCTGTTGGCCTTCAACCATTCCATGTTGAGATTCTTTACATTTTGATTTTGCAGCAGACAACAAATGGTTCCAACCGTATTTCATATACAGTATAACCACCTGTCTTTGTATT